GGCCTGCTGTGTTCATCCAGCTCTGCACCTTGTTGTCTCATAATATACAGATTACACATCCCACCAAAAACAAAAACATAATATTCAGATTATACCACCCCAGAAAACAGACCATAATATACAGATTAGAAACACCCCTCGAAATAGAGGCGGTAACATCAATCTTACTTCCACTCTTCCTAAAATACAGACTGTGATACCCAAACTCCTGCAGCCCTCGAAAACAGGCCATAATATCTAGATCAGACACCGCCCTCCAAAAAAACAGACCATAATATTTCACACACAAACACACACCCGCTCCCACCTCAGGGAAAACAGACCGCAATGTCCAGATTACGCACGGCCCCACAAAACCCAGATCATAATGTCCAGATTACAGGCACCCCTCAAAAGCAGACTGTAAAAGTCCAGATTGTAAGCACCCATCGCATCTACCCAACGAGATGGCACAGTACTCTCCACATGAGCACCCCCAATTTGAAAAAGGGAACATAATATCCAGATTATGCACACCCCCAAAAACAAACCATAATATCTAGATTATGCATACACACAAAAAGTACCAAAATATCCATACTATATATACGCCACTAAATAAAACAATAATAACCAGATTACATGCACCCCTTGACAGAGACAGTAAAAATCCAGTTTACACAGCTCAAAAAAATACATGGAAATCAGACCAGAAATATCTAGATTATAAACACCCAGCCACCCATCCCAAAGGTACCATAATCTCCAGATTACACTCCCCCCACTGAGAAAACAGACCATAATATGCTGATTACACACTCCTCAAAAGCAAACCCTAATGTTGAGATAATATACTTGCCATGAAACAGACCATAATATCCAGATTATGCACTTCTTTAAAAATAGACTCTAATATCTGAAGTATATAACCCTCTCAAAAAAACAGGCCATTATACCCAGAATATACACCACCTTCAAAAACAGACTGTGGTATCCAGATTACATACTCATAGAGTCACAGAGTTGTACAGCACGAAACAGACCCATCGATCTAACTCGTCCATGTCGACCAGATATCCTAAATAAATCTAGTCCCGTTTGCCCAGCATTTGGCCCCATATCCCTCTAAACCCTTCCTATCCATGTACCCATCCAGATGCCTTTTAAATATTGTAATTGTACCAGCCTCCATTGCTTCCTCTGGCAGCTCGTTCCATACACGCATCACCCTCTGTATGAAAAAGTTGCCCCCTTGGGTCCCTTTCCTCCTCTCACCTTAAACCTATGCCCCTCTAGTTTTGGACTCCCCCACCCTGGGGCGAAAGACCTTGGCTATTCCCCCTGTCCATTCCCCTCATTTTATAAACCTCTACAAGGTCACCCCCTCAGCCTCCGACACTCCAGGGAAAATAGCCCCAGCCTATCCAACCTCTCCCTATGGGTCAAACCCTCCATTCCCGGCAACATCCTTGTAAATCTTTTCTGTGCCCTCTCAAATTTCACAACACCTGGATAAGACTCACCCATTAAAAACAGACTGTGACATCCAGATTATTACACCTCCCTCACAAACAGACCCTAATGTCTGAATTATATAACTGCCTCTAAAACAGACCATAACATCAAGGAAAAAAAATAGACACTGTAACATCCAGATAATGCACCACTGAAAAACGAAACAATAATATCCAGATTAAATCCATCCCCGTCCAAAATAAGACGATAATACCACTCTCAAGAATCATACCGTGGTATCCAAATTACACACACGCTTAATAAAAACAAACTGTGACATTCATATTCCACGGGGCCCTGGTAAAGAGGCCATAAAGTCCAAATTAGATACCCCCTTGAAAAAGGGACAGTAATATCCAGATTACACAAACTCCCAACAAAAAAGACTGTACTGTTCAGATTAGACACCCCCTTGAGAAAGAGACGGTAATATCCAGATTAACACACCCTAACATCCAGATTATACAAACCTAATCCCTCCCCCCAAAAAAATCATAATATCCAGATTACACCCATTCTTCAAAAACAGACCAGGTATATCCAGATCAGGCACCCCTAACCCCTCAAAAAAAAAGACCATAATGTCCAGATTAAACACACCCCCGAAAAAAAACAAACCTTGTATCTGGATGACACACACCCTCTCAAAAATAGGCCTTAGATATCCAGATTAGACACCCCTCGAGAAAGAGATGGTAATATGCAGATTACACACACACACCCCGCTCCCGAGAATGATCGTAATATCCAGATTAGGCACAACCTTCCCAAAAAAATGACTGTAATATCCAGGTTAGGCACACCCTTTGCAAAAAAAAAGGCCGTACTATCCAGATTACATGCATTCCTTCTCATTAAAAGACCATAACATCCAGATTAGACAAATCTTGAAAAAAATATAAGGTACTATTCAAATTATACACACACCCCTCCTAAAAAGGGCTGTAATATCCAGATTAGTTGCACCCTTGAAAAACTGATAGTGAAATCCTAAATGCACAGACTCACTCCCAAAAAAGACCCTAGTAGCCAGATTACACATCTTGAAAAAAATCTGGTGTTATCCAGATTACACAGTTTCCCCAATAAAGAACAGACCGCGATACCCAGATTCTGTACCCTCTCTCTTGAAACACATGTCACAATATTCGGAATACGCGAACACCTCAGAAACAGACTGTAAGAATCCAGATTACAAGTACCCACCTCAGGTCCAAAAAAAAAGACACCGTAATCTCCAGAGATGCACTGCTCCTAAGTAAAGACACAGGAATTTTCAGATTACTTACACCTCCACAAACCCCTCATGTCCAGATCAGGCACACCCCTCAAAAACAGACTGTAATGTCGAGACCAAGACCCCTTCCTCAAACCAAACCGTAATATCCACAATACCGAAACCCTCCTTGAGAAAGAGACAGTAATGTCCAGATTACACATAACCCTCAAAGGAGGATAATATCCAGATCATACACCTTTCTCGAAGAAAAATCATAATATCTAGATTTATAGGCATCCCTCGAAAACAGACTATAACCTCTAGATCAGACACCCCCAACTCAAGAAGTAATATCCATATGAGATACACCCCTTCAAAAACAGACTGTAACATCTAGAATACAGACGCCCCTTGGAAAAAACAGGCTGTAACATCCGGATTACAGGCGTCCCTCAAAGAAAAGAGACTGTAATATCTAGACCAGCCACCACCCACCCCAACTTCAATAAAAAAAGGACTGTAATGCTCATATTACAGGGGCCCCTCGAAAAAAAGGCCGTAATGTCCAGACCGGACACTCCCTTCAATAAAAAACCAGACCATGATGTTCAGATTACAGACGCGCTCGAAAAACAGACTGAAATATTCAGATCAGCCACCTCCCCAATAAAAAAAACTGTAATGCCCAGATTACAGGCGTCCCTCAAAAAAAAAGACCGTAATATTCAGATCAGACACCTCCCTCAATGAAAAACAGACCGTAATGCCCAGATTAGACATCCCTGAAAAAACACAGACCGTAATATACAGATCAAGCACCTCCTGCAATAAAGAAAGAACCGTAATGCCTAAATTGCAGGCACTCCTCAGAAAAGAGACCGTAACATCCAGATCAGACACCTCCCCAATATCAAAAAAACACTGTAACGCCTACATTACAGGCACCCCTCAAAAAAAAGACCGTAATATACAGATGAGACATCCCCCTCAATATAAAACAGACCGTAATGCCCAGACTAGACAACACTCTGCAAAAAATTCAGATTGTAAGCAAATGCCACCAAAGCCTCCACCCACGCCAACTTCCTCCTCCCCAAAAAATACAGACATAGCAAACCCCAGGTGGTGCACCAACCCACTCCATCTTAAAAAAGAGACAGACCATAATATTTAGATCCCCTCCATTCCTCCAGGCCTAGTCTCTGTCTCTCTCTCTCTCTTTCTTTCTGCTTCTTTTAATCTCTCTCTCTCTCTCTCTCACTCTCTCTCTAACTCCAGGGTCATCTCCCTCCTCCCTCTCCCCCTCCCCCTCAGTCCCACCTCAGCCTCTTCTCTCCCTCTCTCTCTCTCCCTCTCTCCTCCTCTCTGCCTCTCTCCCTCCTGACCCTCTGACTCCTCCACCAGGCTCCGGGAGGACCGGGAAACCGGCCCGGCGTGCACCGCGCCGGCCTCACCGCGGGCCAGATAGAGCGGTTTCAGCCGCGCGGGGCCCGCCGGGTAAAGAAGGCCGCCATTGTCCCTATTGTCTGGCAGGGGAAGGGGAAAGAGGCAAAAGGATGGAGAAAGTTGGGGCGAGGAGCAGAGAGGGAGAAGGAGAGCGAGAGGGCGAGAGAGTGGGAGCAAAGAGAGAGGGAGAGCAGAAGAGAAGGGAGGAAGAGGGAGGATGGAGAGAGAGGAAGAAAAAGTGGAGAGAGGTCAAGAGCGAGGTAGAGAGCAAGACAGAAGTGGAGGGGGAGAGAGAGAGAAAAGGGAGAGAGAGAGAGAGACGGGGGAGAAACGGAGAAAGAGAGGAACGGGGAGAGAAAAAGAGGAGGAGGGAGAGAGGGAAAAGACAGAAAGACGGGAAGAGTGTGTAAGAGAGAGATATATAGATAGTGAGAGGGCGAGTGAGAGTAAGAGGAGAGGAGAGAGATAGAGAAGGAGGTGGAGAGAGAGGGATAGGGAGGGAGAGAAACACAGGGGGATTGTAGGGGAAGAGATAGAGGGCGGGGAGAGAGAGAGGGAGGGATGTGGAATGAAGGTCTAATGCCTCCCAGAACAACAGATTAACACTGGAATTTGAGGTTTGTGAAAGAGAACTGGACGGAGAGCACAGAAATAACAGCTGTCTGCTCTCCCAGGCAACAAACAAATGTCTCACATTTAAAATTTACTTAATCCCCTTCAAATCACTATTTCACCCCCTCCCTCCCTATCTCTGTCACCTCCTCCACCCTCTACAATTCTCATCCTCCTGTTCATATCCCTCCCTCACCATCTCTGTAACGTCCTCCAGCCCCTACAACCTGCTGGATGCCTGTGTTCTGTGTCTAAATCTGACCTCTTTAGAATCCCTCGATTTTAATTGCAGTAGCCACAATACAGGCATCGTTTTAACAAAAGGGGGAGCAGTCTTGATGGACCAAATGGTTGACTTGGAAATTTTTAAGTGATTTCATGATCTCCATTGGTGGTCGACCTTCAGTTACCTGAGATTCCAAGCAATGAAGAGCTAAAACTCCTCAGTATTTCTTTGTCCCTATATTCGTTCTTTAACGGGAACACCACCTTTATTCCAAAAAAGATTTCGAGATTGGGGGCAGCAAACCGAAATCTAAAAACACAAAATTAACACATTCCTGTTCGGTCATCTTGGACAAAGGTAGGAGGGTGAAAGGATTATGGCATCTGGATGGGTACAGGAATAGAAAGGGTTTAGCGGGATATGGGCCAAATACTGACAAATGGGACTAGGAGGGATTGGGGTGTCTGGTTGGCATGGACAAGTTGGACCGAAGGGACTGTTTCAATATTGTATGACTCTATGTTTCAGTGTAACAGACTCAAGGAGGGAGGCTGAATGTCGAACACTGCCTACAGGGCTTATATTTTCTTTTGACTTTGCCTCTGCCAACATGTGGCGGCGTGCAGTTAAATTCATCACCGGCAGTCATTCTCACTCCATCTCTCATGACAGAGCAGCTGTATGGTCCTCTGGAACTTTGGTGACCAATCCTGGTAGTTTGGAAGGATGCTGTGGCAATAGTGCTCTCCTCTGTAGCCACATGCCTGACGATTCACCACCACACACTCGGGCTTGTGCTGTCAGATTGCCCCACCAGCAGACAGGGGCTCGCTCTCTCTCTCTCTCTCCGTCTCTCTCTGTCTCTCTCTCTCTCTGTCTCACACACACACACATACACTCACACTCTCTCTCAGACAGGGTGAGAGGCTTTGACCTCTCTGTATATCGAGGTACTTACAGGATTGGTAAATGAGAAAAAAAGAGTATTTTTGCAGATACTGATTGCTCAAAACAGAAGGCCTTGAGGAATAAAGAATGTTCAAGACAGAAACTTAAAACAAGGAGAACCAAAACGGAGCGTGAAAAGCAGTTAAAATAAGGGGAAATTCCCAAGTTATCTTGCAATTACATTAAGTGTAAAAGGATAATAAGAGAAAGAGCAGGACCCATTAAAGACCAATGGGTATAGTAGTTGGGATATCATGTTGAGGTTGTACGGGACATTAGTGAGACCTCTTCTGGAGTGCTGTGACCAGTTCTGGTCTCCCTGTTATAGGAAGGATATTGTTCAGCTAGAGGGTGTTCAGAAGAGATTTACCAGGATGTTGCCGAGTATGGAAGGTTTGAGTTGTAAAATTGGCTGGGTCATTTTTCACTGGAGCATAGGAGGTTGCGAGGTGACCTTATAGAGGTTTATAAATTTTTTGGGGGTATAGATACAGTTAATGGTAGGTGTCTTTATCTTTAATGTGCGAGGAGAAAGATTTAAAAAAATGCATGAGGAGCTTTTTTTTACATAGAGGGTGGTTTCCAGGTAGAAAGAAGTCCGAAGAAGTGGTGGATGTGGGCGCAATTACAATGTTTAAAAGACATTTGTATAATTACACGAATAGAAGAGGTTTGGAGGGATATAGTCCAGGACCAGGCAGGTGGGACTAGTTCAGTTTGGAATGATGTTCGGCATGGACTGGTTGGACTGAAGGTTCATTTCCACGCTGTTTGATCATAGCGGTAATTTGCCCATGAAGTCAGTGGATGTAGGTCGGGTTCTAAATGAATACTTTGGGGAAGAGATCTGTCAGGCAATTAAATAATTTAGCGAAGTCAGAGATAGGGGTTCTGACGCCTGTTTCTCTCTCCTCTTTTCTTTCTCCCTCGCTGTCTCTTTTAAGACACTATCTCTCCTCCTCTTCCTGTCAAATTTGACTATCCTGCATAGCTCAGTAGGAGTCCTCCGAATGAGTCCTCCAGTCCAGCAGTGATGCTGCACTGCTGCAGTCCTCCAAGGAGACCTCCAAAGCAGGGACAG